CTTTAAATAGTAGGATCCTTATCATAAGGACCCCAAAATATTGTACCCTAATTTTCGGAAAGCTCCATATTCTGAGATCCCTGAGAGTCCATAACAAGCGGCATGTTGGTTCGACATCTGGATACCGGGGCCCCCGCACACGGATGGTGCGAAGCCTACCAACCAGGGTCGCTGTCAGTGCTCTCTTCGAATGAAGGCAATATGGGAACCTGATTAAGAAACCTTGGGTCTTTATTTGGGGTTCCTTATATGAATCCTAATATTTTGGAGTTATAGGGCCAGGGTTTCTTAATCAGGTTCCTACATTAGGCCTATAGGCGATATGAAGGTGCTACGTTGATATGGTTGGCCTTGCATGTCTCTGTTACTGCCACTAATGGGACCTATGTAAAGGAGAGTGCGCTGAGGTCGTTGAAGAAAGCATGCTCACATCGCGTAGGCAAGCCCCAACTTGCCAGCATCAATGCTACTCCCGGAAAGTTCGAAAGTCCTCTGGCCTGAACCATTGGGACTCTAATTCCTTAGTCTTTAGCGTTCCTTAATGTAACTAAACCATAACACACTCCCAAACTCTTTTCTACTTGTTAAGGCACCAAAATTTGACAGTTGAGTTTCAAGGAGCGTGTGCTTGTCTTGATCCTGTTATGCCCGTGCCGCAGGGCCAAAGCTGCAATCAAGGACTTGCACACAGGTGGTTTGGGGTCAAGGGTTCCAATCTGAGAGGGGTCCCAACCCCAAACCCTAACCCCTAAACCCTAAACCCTGAGGATTTCAACATGTTTTCAACATTTCGGCTTTCAAGGGCTGGCTGGAGAGAGCTGTACTGCCAACTCCCGACTACCTACTCAAGGGGCCTGAATACTTAGAACAGTGCTTTGGGGGATGTTATATAGCAAGCAGCATGCGTAGAATACAGAACCCTAGGGAATAGAGAATGTATTTATTAGCAGCTATCCAGGACTCGTAAGTTGCTACTGTTATCATGGTAAATTGAAGATAGTTCGGTCAAAGGTTGCGGATCTAGAGGGCGTTGGGTTTAGGGTTTAGGGTAGAGTTTGCGGCACGTAGGGCTTGGGGCTGAGTCGGCTTCTTCATGGGGTGGGGTCATCAAGCGCCCACCTTAAGCCCTAAACCCTAAGCCCTAAACCCTACACCCCTAAAGCCTAAACCCTAAACCCCTAAACTCCTAAACCCTAAAGCCTAAACCCCTAAACTCCTAAACCCTAAAGCCTAAACCCCTAAACCCTAAAACCCTATATAAACCCTGAACAAGGGACCCAGAGAGCCTGCGACTCCTTCTATAGGGAATCTACCTGAAGGCCTCTGTCAGGGTTCCTTTTAAAGGGTCTTCACAGGTTCTACATCTACCGGGAGTTCCTTGAAGGGGTGCCATAAGAGATACTAGAAATAGGTTTTAGGGTTTAGGGTTTAGGGTTTAGGGAAAGGTTCTAGCAGGCTTCTATCTTACAGGTGCCTTGTATAACTGGAATAGGAATCTAGCCTACATCAGAATGCCCCCCACGATTTTAAGGCATAGTCCTTAAAAGCCTGAAGGGGTGTCGACATACTATCCTTAACTTTCACCTTGAACCCTAAACCCTAGACCCTAAACCCTAAACCCCCTTGAAACCGTGCCTAAAGCCCTATAGCCATGACCTCGCAAGCCCTAAACATTCTATAGCAGAAGCCCAAAAGTTGGAAACCCAATAGCCTCAATCCTTAAGAGTACTGTATGGGGAATCCCAGCACGATTTGTCCCTAATCCGGTTTCCAACTTTTTGGGGTTTACTGTAAACCTTCACTGAAACTACCAAGACACCGTGAATACCTTCAGATCCCTAGCACTTGAACACCGAAAAAAAACATCTCCAAAACCCTAAACCCTAAACCCGAGCCCGTAAAAAAACAAAAAAAAACATCTCCAACCTGGAATCCAAGTCCGAATGAAACTTCGCCAAATCCTCCGCCCTGTCCAAGGCCTTGGCTACAGCACTGCGATTTGGTGGTAGGGGTTTCGGGGTTTAGGCTTTCTTTGGGATTGGGGAAGGTGTGTCAAACGGTGGATGATAAAAACCCTGCATTACCCTTAATAAAGACATACCATAATTCCCATAGTTTGGCATCCTTAAGGTAATGCAGGATTTGTGTCGTCAACAGAAGTTCTTTACAGAACACACGGCTTGCATTTGAAGGTGTCTCGAGCGAAGGCATTGCTTTGTTCCTATCTTCAAGGGCAGAGCTAAGATCAAAGGCTTGGGGTTTAGGGTTTAGGGTTTAGGGGTTTAGGGTTTAGGGTTTAGGGGTTTAGGGGTTTAGGTAGTGTCTGCTGTTTAAGGTGTTTTGAGCCGTGTTGCGGTTTAACGCTCACTTTCAGAGTTTATGGTTTGAGTGACGGGCTTCGGATTTCAATGACGTGCTCATTGTGCGAACGGCATGCTGGACGGTTGATCCCTAAACCCTAAACCCTAAACCCCAGTACCCATAATAAGGAATATACCCATACAGGTTCAGGAGTGCTCAACTCGTTCTGCTCAAGGTTAGCCCCAGGGTTTTCAGGTATATCATAGGAAAGCTACACAGGGACCACGCGGAACTAGTTTTTCGATTCATTGCTGCTGAGGAAAAAAAGGCTGTCTGCACTGCCTTGGATGGCACTGAACGCCAAGTCGATTCAAGTACATTTTTCGACATGCCCTTTTGTCGTACTTGGCCCGACGATTTTTGCGGCCTCCCGGCTGGCTAGGACGAACCTACGATGCAGGGTCTATATGAGCTGACGAGAACAGGATAATCTCCGCTTTGTTGGAAGTTCCAACAGCAAAAGGCTTCACTCAGTGAAGTGGTTCATGCGGCTATCTAGGCCTTCCTTCAAAAAACATGCACATCCCAGCGCTCCACTCAATCACGCATCGTTGCAGTTCGCGCCAGCTACGTCCCATCATGTGGTTCTGTGTTTGATGTCGTCCCACATACCATATTCCCGACGAGTATTAGACATGCCAGGAGCCAGCTGTCCAAATAGCCAAGACAACCGAACAGCACACTGAAACAACTCGGGGTCTAAATACTAGACTCTTAAAGTCTCGAAAGGACCATGATGCTGGAATGCCGAAATATGGTCTGCACGAGGTATCTACACCAAACCACCCTAAAGCACACCAGACTATACTGATCCATCCTGAACCAAATACTAAACTGACTATACCATCAGTGCTCTCGGGCAGAATGTCACTGGGAGAATACATTTCCTCGGCTAAGACAGCTATACTGAATTAGGTGGCTCTTGTTTTCTAGCAGGCGGCCAACTTACTAGACAAGTTGGAGGCAACCGAAGTGCAGGGCCTAGGGCATCAATCCCGGAAGATGGGGCTTCCCCCTATCAGGTTCACATCCTGCGATGCTTCGGAGCGCCGGAGTGCCTGGGACTTACCAACCAGGCCGGCGTAACAATGCCTTCAGGCCAAGTCCTACGAGGCAGTTGCACAGTGATAGAAGCAGTGCGCAGCATGCAAAACCCACTGCTTGAAGCACTGCAATTTCAGCGTCGAAAAAGATTCGATCTGTGAACCGAGTGAGGCCATAAGCTACGACCATTACAAGGACAGGGACAGCTGCTGCTACCAACACCGATAGGTTCTTAAGGATCTCAAGACACGTACTCCTGGGTCTCCGCCGACCAAGCCTTAGCAAAAGTATCAAGAGATCCTTGTTGGCTGGGACGAATAGGAGCCAAATCACCAATCCTTCTAGTAGAAGGGACACAGAAGGATGTTCCCACAGCTTCCAAGTATTGTCCGGTTGAGTGAAGCTGGCAGAGACGTCCATGAAGGCCAGAATGATTGGGGAAGTCACTCCCAAAGCCCATGGAGTACTGAATACCTTCTGAGTAAGATTACGGTTCAAAATGTCCAAAACCTCGGCGCGCACCGTGCCCTCGAAAGATAGCTCGCTGCCAAACCAAATCTTCACACACTCTTTCACGATCTTACGGTCGCAGAACATGCGTCCACCCGAAGGGTTCACATGATGGCGATCACAGCATGAACTCTTCGTAGTATCAACAGAGATCGAAGACAACTACAGCTTCATGGTGTCCAAGTCGCGAAAGTAGCTTCGGATGGTGCTGGCAGTGGGGACTGCAACCACAAACGCGCAGAAGACGATGGCTGACAGCAGCTGCACGAAGCTTTTTTCTTCGTGGGCACGTATAGGTACTGTTGCGATTGTCATTGCAACAGCAGCAAAAGTAAGATAGACTGCGATGGAAAGCGGTCCCATGAAGATGGGCCTGACGACGAGGTGCTGCTGTTGTGACGTCTTGCTTTTCAGGAATGCGGCAAGCTCAAACAAGCACCACCTAGGTTGGCTCTGCAAAATCTACGTAATTCTTGTGACCCTTCTAGAACCCAAAAAGGGAAAACACACAAAATGTCCTGGCCTACCTAGCCGCAACCTCTCAGTCCACGTTGGGTCCCACAGAATAAGCATTCCGTCGGAATTTTTCAAAAGCCCTGCCAGGCTGAGTATGGCCTCCGTCTTCAAGCGAGCATCACTTTGGCTGATACATATACGGTCAAGGAAAACTGCAGTGCGTGGTCGCCAGAAAATCAATACTAGATTTGCGAGGACGAACCCTGAAAATGTTGACCAACAAGACCACTGAAAGCTGTCATCCAACCATCCACGGTCAATTCCAGCAAGGGTCCCCAGACTAAAGAGCAACATCATGCATGCCCCGGTGAGCAAAGACAAGAATACTGCAGCAGTGCCGTTGTAGAGAGTTACAATGGCGAAGATCTTCTTCCAATGCCCTCCGTGCCAAGAGTGACTCCAAAATGTTGATATTCTTTGGCTCTGGTGACTCTTGTGGTAAAAATCCCCAGCAGATCCAACACGCAATGCTGCAGCAAAATGCTCCAAGGCGCGAAATACCGGGGTCACCCTCAAGACCTCTGGGTTTACCACATCCATCTTGGCAACGCGTTCTACCAGAGTTGGTATCATCGCTTCCACGTGCAGGTCCGTATCGGATGCCCCGGAATCCTCGCTGCGCCCGGGACTTGGTGCAGGGCCGTGGCCGCTGCTCTGGCTGGGGGCACTGTCTTGCCTCTCGGCCGGCACCCTCAAGTCCAGGATGGAATCTTCGCTGCTCGTCTGGCTCGGCCTTCCCATCTCTGCTGGCCCAGCAGAAAGAAGCGGGTCACGCTATGTAGTGCTGATTAAACCCTAAGCCCTAAACCCAAAACTCAAAACCCTAAACCCTAAAACCCTAAACCCTAAACCCTAAAATTACACGAGCTTTCCCAGTGAGCAGCTGGAGGAAATGTCAGACACCAGGCTAGGGTTGAAGAAATCAAGGTGACAAGCCAAGGTTCATGGGCTTCCCGTGTCTTGCGCGGGCCTTACGAACTAGTGTAGGGCTTTAGGTTCTACCATATCGTATACCTATGGAGGGACTGTACGGGAAGAGTTTTGCTACATATTCCGATTTCTATGCAAATCAGATGTCCATGCACAGTCTCCCTTGGTTGCTGAGCTGAAAGAGTGCCTGCACCGAAGTGCACTGAACGCCAAATCTGTTCAGTTGCATGTTCGGGACATGTCCTTCTGCCCATAGGGTCATGGACACTCGCCATGGGCCACAGAAAGACGCTCTATGTTGTCCAACAAGACAATTGAACAGCACACTGAAACGACCTCAGGGTTTTGTAAAGTCTCGAGTCGCAAGGTCTTCAAAGATCCATGATGCCGGAACGCCGAATTCGGGCTCAACGAGCTATGCTACGGCGCCATACCAGGCTAAAAATACTAAACTACACTTATCCATACTGAATTACATCGAGGCTGAATCCGTTGCGGCCAGAATCTAGGCGCAAATGCTTTTGATCTGGCCTAAGCTCACACCATCCACCTGCCAAGCCCAAGCAACTGAGCTCGCAACGGACTCTCGCAGGCTGCGCCTCTGCTCGAAGACGTTGTGCATGTGCATAGCCAACCTTACCTGGGTGGTTATGTAACTTAGCTTAAGTTACCATGGAAAGGAACATACGGACACCATACTATTTACTTTAGACCCCTGTTGTGGTAACTTACACTACACTCCTCAACAAGAACCTCATTACCTGATGCACAGAGAGCCCAAGCATTACATCCGGCAGAGCCCCTCTTCAGGGCTTCTATAAGGGTCCGGAAAGGAGGCTTGCTACAAGGGCTTAGAAGGTTCACAGTATGGGGGTCTCAATAGTCACGGGTTTTGAGACTCACTACTAAATATAATAAGGAAACTTAAGGAATAGCATTGCCAAGAAAGCCCACGCACCCCTTCAACAAGGAAGGTTGGTCTTCATAGGTTTTCGTAAGGCTTTACGGGGCTTCTATGCCCAGTAAACAAGGAGTATAACTTCAGTTGTAGTTTGCGTTGCTATTGTGATTTACGGTGTATTCCCTGATTGACGCGCCTTTGGCTTCTCTGGATGCAAAAAAGCAAAAAACTGCTTCAGAGAGTGGGGCTGTGGGAGCTGATGCAGGTTCGGGTTGAGTCTGAGGGTTTTGGTTCAGCCTTTAATGCTACGGTTGATGGTATAAATCTTGCATTACCCCTAATAAGAGATATACCATAATTCCTCAAGTTTGGGGTCCTTAAGGTAATGCAGGATTTATATCATCAACACTATGGGTTTCGAGGTTGAGGGTTAATGGGTTTTGGGCTTCTTGGGGGCTGGAATACCCTAGCATAAAATAAGTATCAAAGGTTAACTGCTCGCCTACTAAGGCGTATGGTTGGGGGTTTTGGAAAATCAGGATTCCCTGTGCTATTCTCACTAAATGGGAATTTGCTGAAATTCGGATGCAAGGTCTCTTGAGCAGGCCTCAATGATTAGACAAGGGGGGTACAGTGTAGTCTGATGCAATTAGAGGCGTCCAAAGGAAGACTGTTGGTATATGTTGGTAGATACTAAGCCTTAGTTGTTGAGTTCATAGGCACAAAAACGTGTACACTTTCAGTTCTATAAGGTATCATATTATCCCAAAAAGTTTATATAAAGTGTAGTAATTCAGCTCTTAGGAAGCATACCACCCGAACTCTCTCGCATCCTTGCACAAGCAGAACGATGGCGGCTAGAATTTCGCTTTGGAACCCCAAGCCGACAATCCTACATCCCAAAAGCCTATAAAACCCATGCCCTAAATGAAGGCCTTTGCAACTAAGACTGCAACACTCTTCATCCTCCACCCATCTTAGTTGTTGAGTTCATAAGCACAAAAAAAGTGTACACTTTCAGTTCTATAATGGATCATACTATCCCAAGAAGTTTAAAGTGTAGTAATTCAGCTCCTGAGCCATGAACTCGCAACCCCGAAACTCTCTGCCCCAAAGAGCAGAGACAGGACCGGTCAAGGCACCACGCACTGCACGAAGCTTGAGAAGCGACATGCGGAGCAGAACTCCATGGCATAGTCCTCGAGTTTAGGATGTAAGATCTAGGGTCTGGGCATGCTTAGGCCTTGTTTGTTAGGGTTTAGGGCTTAGAGGGTATGTTTAGGCCTTTTTTCGGGGTTTAGGGTTTAGGGGGTATGTTTAAGCCATTTTTTGTATAAATCTTTGGGGGTTTTGAGGGGTTTCTGCTTAGGTGCTTCGGGTCTTCGGGCTCAGGGCCTTTATTGGGGCGTAGGGTTTGCAGGCGTTTTCTGTTTGGGGCTTTGGGTTCAGGGGCTAATCGCAACCCCCCATGGCCCAAGACTACACCATGGTCCCAGAGGCCATGAACCCTCACGAAATAGGATTCACGGTTTAGGGTTTAGGGGTTTAGGGTTTAGGGTTTGGGGTTTTGGGGGTTTAAGGTTTAGGGGTTCTGGGTTTAGGGTTTGGGGTTTTGGGGGTTTAGGGTTTAGGGGTTTGGGGTTTAGGGGTTTAAGGTTTAGGGGTTCTGGGTTTAGGGGTTTAGGGTTTAAGGGTGGGGACTATTTGAGGAGTAATCGGTTCAGGGTGGTGTTTAAGGTTTAGGGTCTAGGTCCTAAGTTTAGGGGTTAAACGGTGGGAGGTTCTGGCACTGTTTGGTCTACATGAAGAGTTGCCGCCAATCCTTTGGGTTGAGGGCTTAGCTTTAGGGGTTTAGGAACCTCAAACACCCTAAACCCTGAACCCAAAAAGTCCGACACCCCAAAGCTCTAAACTGAACCCTAAACCCCAAAAACCCCAAACACCAAAGCTCTAAAACCCTGAACCCTAAACCCCAAAAACCCTAAATCCCCAAGACACTAAACCCCAAATCCCAAAACCCTAAACCCCCAAAAACCCTAAACCTCAAGAGCCCCAAAGCCCTAAACCCCCCAAAAGCCCTAAAGGCCTTAAGCCCTACCACCACCTCTGCTCGGAGGTCCCTGGCCTGGCTCCTAAACCCTACGCCCTTCTAGTATAACCCTTATAGAATACTTTAAGGAACCTTATGGCTTAGTATAACCCTTATAGAACCCTTTAAGGGTTTAGGGTTTATAGGAATTTAGGGTTCTAGGGATTTAGGGTTTTGGGTTTTGAGTTTTGGGGGTTAAAAACCCTAAACTCCAGGAGCCCTAAACCC